ATAATAAAAAGTACATATTTGTCAACACCGAGAAACCAAGTTTCATAGTGATGTTTTTCTGGTTTCCATTTACGGATTATCCGTACTTGTATCGGATCTTCGACACACGCATACTTCAGTTTTGAAATGAATGTCATGCTTTGATGGCTGTGTCAAAAAAAAAAAACAATCAGTGGTTACATAGAATAATATATGAATTTGAATTTATAGTAAGAAGAGTAGTTTTGTATGAAAATATCAAATGAAAGAAGAAGCATAGATAAGAACAAAGTTGTTAGCACAAACAGATAGAAACCCTTTTTATATCAACTTTGGATAATAAATCCTTATACACAACATTTTTCGTTACATTATATGGGGTGGCTTCATTATTGTTTATTACAACTTTGATTGAGTTAGGGGATGTAGCCCTAGATAAGGCAACATAAAGCTGACCATGAGCAAAAACTGGTTGGGAAAGGTAGAATCCTATTTTCTGTAGTGATTGTCCCTAGCTTTTGTTTATTGTCATTGCATAACAGGCTTTTAATGGGAACTATTTTCAGGAGAAGGAAATTGTAGATTTGGTGGGTTATGGATGAACTTAATTCGAGGTATGTACACCCATTTGCCAGCACATGTTCCAGTGATTATGGTTCCAGTGATTATGATTGGAGCTTCATCCGAGACAATGATGGAGGTTTGCCTCAGTAGTTGTCCGAGGCAGGTTCTTTTTTTGATATCACATGCTGTTTTTTCTGATAAGTCAATTGGTATTCTGAATCTTGAGTGTGTCGTTCTTCCTGAGGGAAGAAGAATGATGCTATCCCGGAAGTAGCTACTGCAAGAACAAATTTTCCAATGGATCTAAAGTATGCGATTATAAATGTCCAGAGGAACGTCTTTCCAGTGTCGCCATGTCCATACACGAAAAGAAGATGTTGTTTGTTTCTTTCAGATGTGATAACAGCCTGGTAGATTGCTGACTGTTCAACATTTAGTTGTGGTAACATCTGCAGGTGTTGTATTTTTAGTGATTCTCTATCGTATGTGGTTTATTCTATGAGGAGACGGTTGTGCAGTGTATCTACCATGGAAGTTGATGGCATCTGTAGGTTGAAATCAACTAAAGATTTGGATGGTGTGGAGGATTAAAGTGTGTTTTCCAAATCTAAAAGCAGCTGTTGTTGGATGATGTTGTCGTCTGTGCTGAAGTGTTTCTCTGGAAAATCAAATTGCATCTTATGAATATAGTCGTCACTCATCTTTTGTGATGCAAGCTGCCATAACAGATGTGGATCAGTAACCTCACAAAACAGCAATAAATGACAAAAAAGGGAACGCAGCTGAGAAGATGTTGCCCATGCAGATGCTTCTATAAAAGAAGTCATCCATTCAACATCGTTGCCTACTAAGCCCAAAGCATTACATGCACTCCGAAAGTTTGGATGTAGTTGACTAGATATTGTACGGACATCTTCATAACAGGTGCAACCTTTTTGATGGCACAATAACATCCGCAGAAAGAATAATTCTCCGGAAGATGGATGTACAAATAGAAGCCTTCCAACAGCCTTAGAAGACTCATATGCCCTAGGTGACCATTCTTTTGAGTCACTGTCCCACTTGTATTTACTTGGGTATTCTATATAAGTAAGTGTACGACCTTGAGTCACTGTCCCACTTGTATTTACTCGTGCTTCCTTTAAAGATGACATGCTGCATATATGGAAGATGCACAGGAAGTCTATGTACTGATGGGTGACGGAGATGGATTTTGAAATTGAGAATCCGCCATGCTGCTTCGTGGGGACAGATGTAACGGTCATCCAGAAAGTTTTGAACCTTGTTGATTGGCTGTGTTGGGATGTTTGGAGATGTGTTATCATTAGATTCGGTTCTTTGGATGTGAAATCTAACTCTTTCAACACCTTTTGATATGTACTTGAAAAGGTACTTGATCAGCACATTCCAACCGCAATATTTAACATTTATGTGGGTTTGAAATCTACAACACAACCTTTTGTTGTAGGGAACGACATATCCGTTGTCGACTACAATACTGTTTGGCATAGTGTGACATGCATGTGGATTCCTTCTATAGTGTGCATATCCTTGTTTGTCGAATACTGTCAAATCTTGGAATGGTTTTGGGAATTTTTTGCTACATTTTTCTTGTTTCATACATGGAGCATTTTTGTTTAATAAACCACAGGGCCCATGCAACATAGAAGTTGTGACAATCTCGTACAGTAGCGGTTATGATATTAGATCAGGTAGATCCGCACTTATGTATTTGTCGACATCAGATGGTTGTTTGATTTTTTCGGAAGGTGCGATCCATAACAATGTGTGGCAGTGTGGGAGACCCCTTTTTTGGAATTCTATTGTGTAGAGGTCCGTAATTGTATGTGAAAGCAGTTAGAGGAGGGGTTAATGAAGTCAAATTATGATAAAACTATCAAGACAGAAATAAATAAATGCAAGCATATGAAGTAGAAAGTTGTTTACATACATGCTTCAATAGAGCCGAAGGTTTTATCATCTTTAATAAACTTGATGAATGCACCCACCTTGATCTGGAAAACTCTGACGATTATGTCAGCTCTGCTATGCACATCATGTTGATGATGCGAACCCATATAGCGGTTGATTTCTGGCCACTTTACATTACATGTAAATGTAACAAAAAACTGTGGATTGCCATAGACTTTACATATGGCAATGGCGTCCTGGTAGTGTGTGTACATATAACGGGGACCGCCTATAAAGGATGTAGGCAGGTATATTCGTTTACATACAGTATGACTGTCTCTATCGCCTTTCTGAAAGCGCGTCATATAGACCACTGATGTAGTTTGTATGGAGCTCTTCCTGATGATGCAGTATGTAATCAAGGCGTCCCTCTTCAATGCAAGTGTAAGAGTCAACTAAATATTGTTGGAAAAGACGACCAGAATCTAGAATGTGAGAATGAATATGATGGCGTGCGTGAATCTGGTAGGTGTAATACATATTAACCGTAAGATTTTTCGGAGAAGAACCTGTTGTGTTTCGAAGTTTCAGCCGGGGGGACCAACCTTCTTCTCCATAAGGAAAAAGAATGGGGTACTGTAGATGCATATAATTGGGATGGAGTTTGCTAACACGGTGCGGACGGCCAGATTTGGATTGTAGAATAATGACATATGTTGCACCAGCATTCTGATCTACGATGATTATACCACCAAGAGTACCGAGAGCTGGGGGAACGTAACAACGATCAGGAACACTGTTATACAGACGAACCAAGTATGTATCCAAGCCCATATCCTCTGCGATTTTTTTTGTTGTTTTAAATGTCCAAACATATTCATTATGGACTGTGAGACATTGTATAAGCAGTTGTTTAATGGAAGGGTCAAGGGTTTTCTTCTCAGGGGTAGTGAATGCATTTATTTTGTTATGGATTTCATTTTCGGTATCATGTATGTAAAGTTGTAGGAATCTTGGTGCATCATCGTTATCTGGGTAAATAGACCCAATTGTATGGAAAATATGACCTGATAATTTGAAAACATAAGGACCGCGACCTTTATTAACCTCCTTATCTACGGTTGCTCCGAAGGAGGTCAATGAAAACATACTATTATATGCCCTAATGTCAGCCATGAAGGAAACATTTGTATACAGAGCACGAATTTCAGGCGGTGGAATGAGAACATAAGGCAGAACAACACTACTGGACATACAACATCGGGTATATTGGGGATGAGCAACTGTCGACTGAGCAAGATTTCTTTCAGCAAACCAAAAAAGCGCTCCACAGAAATCGCAAATGTAGATACAATCTCCACAATCATAGAACGCAGTCATAGGTGAGACGGTAATAAGGCAGAGACGGCGGGAAGAATATCTGAACCCGTCAAGCGAGGTAGACGAAGAAGATGGAATGGAAGCATGTTTACGTTTAGGCATAGGGAAAACGAAAAACGGAAGTACAGGAGGGCAAACACAGACAATATAATAATATAACAAAAATTAAAAGCAATAAAGCAAAGAAAATAAAAGGGGGTGAGACCTGGAGAAGAAGAAAGCGGAGCCGGCGAAGACGATCGGTGACCAACAACAGGAATGGAAAACTAAAAAAAGAACACGTAAAAGCGCATAAACGGTGGACCAATAAGGTGGAGACAAATGAGGAGGAGAAGAGGGAAAGCAATCCACAAAGAAACAGCTGGGAAAATAAAATGGGTGCGGACAAGAATACCCCTGCATTCTACAAACGGTTGCTGTAAAATAAGGAAAAGGAAAGCGATGAGGGGAATTCGTCCAATGAAGAGTAAGCAAAGAAAATTTGGTCCAATTAAGAGTAAATACTGTTAAATTGGGAACATTATTTTTATATAATTATATAATAGTATGTTGAAAAGAGTAGTCAACTCTCACGAAACAGTAGTCAACTCTGAAGAAAAAGTAATCAAATTTAACAAAACAGTAGTCAAATAAAAAAAAATAGTCAAATTAACAACAAAGTAGTCAAGTTTACCGAAAAAATAATCAAATTCAAACCAAATAATTGTTAAAATTTAAACAAAATAGTTGTTAAAGTTATTATATAGACACTCTTTTTTATTCTATGTATTTAAATAAAATAAAATAAATTAAATTAAATTAAAAAAAATACCAAAACGTAGTTTTTTGAAATAATAGTAGATAAAACCCCCAAAATAATAGATAAAAAACAATATTTTTTGGACAAAACAATAGATAAACCCCCTAAAATAGTAGATAAAAAAAACTCGTAGATTTTTTCTCCAAAATCGTAGCCTACGGTTTGGGAAACAGTACTTATTAGAGAGAAAACCGTAAGTTATATATTACCTACGGTTTTGTATGTGAAAAATGATTTTTTTTTTTTTTTATAGAAAACACGAAATAATAGACGAAATGGTGAAACAGTAGGCGAATCTCGAAACCTACGGTTTCATGGGCTATTTTTGGCTATCTATTAATTTTTGGCTAAAAATTATTAATCACCCATTTAATTTGGCTAGATTAGTAATTAGCCCTTAAATTAAAAAAACATAAAACAAAAATATAGAATCTACCCCCTATTTTTGTTAATGTAGCCTGCGTTTTGGTAATTTTGTGATCAGCGTAGATTCGAATTAATTAGACGGCCGGATGATTGTACACCAAGTTCCTTCACACGGTTCACGACCATCCAAGAAATTCCCCATTCGACGTTTGATTTCTGAGTAAGTTGGTTCATCTTTCTTAAAGCTTCCTTTACTTTACTCATATTCACACCCTCCCTAGTCGCCACTCATCAATCTTCCTTGCTAAATTTCTGCGAGTGAGCGACACAGGGTATCATAGTGATCAGTGATGTGGGTAGAGATCATATTTGGTCTGGTGATCTATCGCTTGGTACGCCGTTTCTTCTCCGATGAGGAAGAGCACATTGATTTTGGTTCCAGCGGTTCCAATGCACTCTTCGCCGTCGCCGATAGGTATCATCTATAATCACTATCATCCACCCTTTTCCCCCATCGCTTACCTTTCAATTTCATTATCTTATAAGATAAGAGCGTGGATACCAAAATCACGAAAAGTACCCACGCTTTACCTAATTCAACTATATGACTATACCTAACAATTTCAGCTCCATTATTTCCCATATGTATTGAATTCATATTACTAAATATTTGTATTTTGAAAGGAAAATTATTGAAACTATTAATTAAGAGACAATTGTCGACGTAAAAGATCGGCAAGTTCTAATATGGATTTTACTTATGTATACAAACTGCACTTTGCAGGCTTCAAGCTCTGTATGGTGGCAAAGCTTATGTCGGGCTTCGTATTCCAGACCCTGATACTGCTTCTCGACAGAATATTGATTTGGTCCTCGTCACCAAAGGGTAACTTTCATCTCTCCTCTCTGCTCATGTATTGCAGTTATTTGCTCCCTAAGAGAATGTTAGATGTAAATATGATCTTATTTCAGGGAAGCGGTGGTTGTTTCTGTGATAAATGCATCTGGAATTGTATCTGTTGATGGGGATGGAACTTGGGTTTGCACCGGTGGTTCCAAGCACAAAACAGAGCGCCTTCCGGATCCGGTAATTTTTTTTCTTCTATTTGGTTGTTTTTAAGCTGTTGCATCAACTGATGATGATGTCAATCCAAGTTTATGGTTGCAGTTTACTCTACACACTAATTTAGTGTTGAATTGAGTCGATAATATATGTAATTTTTCTTAATGTTATCAATGCCTCTATTATTTGAAGTATTTCTTAATGTTTCTAAAATGAATTGACCTTTTTAAGAAGCTCATTTCTTACTTCAGCATTTTTTTGATTTTTAATAGATTGTGGAGGCCAAAAGACAAGTTGCAGTTCTTGAGTCTTATCTTGAACAAAGGGGAATCACTCTCCCAGATGGATATTTGTCATTCAAGATTGTGTGCCCTAACCCAGACTTTCGGTAAAAACTAAAACATTTTGTTCTTCTAACTTCAATTTCCTTTTATAATTGTAAATGTTGCTTTTTACCTTGACATATTTTATATTAAAATAACTTATGTTCAACAATTATTTCTCCTTCCAGCACCATTCATTTAGATTACTTTCCACCTGAAGTTGTGACACATGAACAATGGTCAGAATTAAAACCAGAAAAAAAGAGTATATCTGGCTGGATTAAGGGTGCTTTACCTTTACGTAGTGATAAAAAAGAAATGCAGGAATCTTTTCAACAGAATCTTGGTTTTATTATCAGCACTGCTCCAATGTGGGATAGGTATATTATATTCAAATGATTCCAAGATCTTTTAATCTTTGTAGTTAGTTGTTTATATTTTAAGTATTTATTTCGTTTTTCGTGCAGGTTGGAGCTAAAAAACAACAAGCATTTGTTAGGAGAATTTATGGAATTCAAAGGGAAGCAAGATGATATTGTGCTGTTGAGAAATATAAAGAGATCAAAAGTTAGCAAAATGATCATCCAGAAAACAAGCATGTTTGGTTTAGGTACTTACCTGTTTCTTTCTCTATTTTAAATATCAATGTACTTTCATTGATTTTTTTTTTTTTTAAATTTATTATTATAACACTGTCATCTACCATTTTTCAAAGTATAATGGTGTAACAAAATGCAGCTCATTCAAAGCTTCAAGTTCTATATGCACCACGGGATTACAGGAGTGAAGGGAATTCAAGTTTAGAGCTGAATGAGGTAACAGTGAGATCAAGTACAGAGGTTTTGTTTCAGCAACAAGACAATGCTAAACTTCAAAAAATCAAACTATCCTCCATCATGTCCATGTCTCTAAGCCCTTAAACAACTTTTCTGTTGTGGTTAATGTTGATTTTAACCTTGCTTTGTTTACTTTGAAACTATGAGTGTAAGATGCTGTTGCTTGGAGTTGTAGGGGTTTATATGTAAATTACTCTTTGTTTTTGGACCATGGAATATGAATATCTTTTATTGCATTTGGCGTAACAATCTAATTTTTTCATGATTAACAACTATGAAACTTGATTGTGAACATATCTATTACCAACAAAACACCAATTGTCACATATTGACAACTAATAACTAAACTAAATGATTATATAAAAGCTGCTAGCTTACAATAGATGTTATTTTGGCCAAATCCACTTTATGATATTTCACTATATTCCATTTAAAAATTAATAACCTGTTATGTTTAAACATAAAGTACGAGAAAAATCATCAAGAAATTGTTCCATCTATCGACGCCTAATTCTTGGTCATGTGGAATATACATCACATACAAACATGTTAGCTTATGTTAAGTGAGTTCATAGATGTATAAAGTTTAAGCAACATTAAAATGCACATGCATGTATGAAATTCGCCCCATTTATAAGGTAATGGTGGATAGTGACATGAGGTATATGCCAAAATTCTTTTCCAAGGTTGTACATGGTACTTGGAATATGGGAACAGAAGCAATTGTGCGCATTAATTAGATGACCCCTAAAGAATTTGGTCCAATAACATTTCATCTTTTTTTTTATATAAATTTATAAAACAAATGTTTTTTACACAAAATAGGCAATATTATGTCATTTTACAACCAAATAATATGATATTCTACCATTAATATGAAGGGAAAATGTCACTGTAGCTCCACTAACTTACAGGTTTTGGTTTAAAAGGTCTCTTATTTTATTTTTTTGGCTTTAAAAGGGCATAAACTAACATTTAACCGGCTAATTTGGAATTTTGACCCAATTCAACCGGTTTGCTTGCCATGTCATCATCCAAGTAAGCTACTGAGTCAACTCAGACGAGTCGGTTTACACGTCATCGACTCACCACCGAGTTCACTTACTTGGGCACTAAGGGTTAGGTGGTCCCGTACTATATAAATGGATGGTCTCTTGGATAAAACCCTAAGACTTTGTTACCACTTCCGGCCAAACACAACCCGACAAACGAAAATAGAATACTCGTATTCCCTTTCACTGTCTTCCATGGAGCCTACCCCACCACCATATTCAGATACTATAAACTCCAACAACTTGATTAGCTCAAGAGACGGGCTATACTTGAACGATTTGCACACAATTTTCTGCGACTGTGGTGATAAAATAGCCGAGCAAAAAGGTGAGGTGGAGCGCATGAAGGAGGAGATGGGTCGCGATTACCTTCATTCCAGGGTTGATGTCCTGAACATGCAGCAAAGGTTCGAGAAGGTTGAGAAGCAGATAAAAGTTATTGCGTTGTTGGTTGTGGGTCTTGTCGTGGTGATGCTCCTGCTAATGATTTCCATCATTCACTTGATAGTCAGCAAGTGATTCTCAAGGAGGTGAATAGTAGTGGTATGATAATCTAGTGTTCGTCGTAATCGTCTATTATGTTTAAGGTTTTTATTGTAATATATGTTATTAGGATTGTGTGTGTTCGTTTGTGTTTGTGGTAATCGTGTATGATGTTTGTGGTAATCTAGTGGTGGTTGTTTACGGATGTTTTTTGAAGTCATGGGAACATGTAACAAGCATTTTGATATTATCTTGATGAAATGTAAAGACCTTGAATGCGTTTTGATTTGTTGAGATCAATGTTCTTGATTAAGACTAACGATTTGGACACTTGGTTGGCTTAATTAATGAAATTTAATTGTTGTTGGTACACCAACTGTGACAGATGTTAATGAAGTCAAACATTGGGGTAATTTCGTCAAGGGGTAGTTTCGAAATTTACAATTTTTAAGAACTTACTTCCTTACTCAACTGGGGTATTTTCGTCATTCGCTCTTTATAAGTACTTTACCTCCTTTACTCGGCAGTACATCCCATTTCTTTGTACATGTTCTTGTTTGCATTTTGAAGTATCTCGGAAATAACGAAGCAAAAATGGTGAAAATGCTCATGTCGATGTTTGGCCATAATCAGAATGTCTTCCACTCCATCAAACCCTGGAAGACCATTCTATGCTTTCCCCACTAAGGTTTGTTTAACTTTCTTTATCGGGTCAATGTAGCTCTAATTTATTTGTTTTTATCTTTGCATTCTAAACTTCTAACTTTTAAATTGATTTTGTTAGGGACCTCGTAATGGTTTTATTTGTTGGGTAGAAGAAGCAGACACTAAGAATATGAGTGTTGAAGCAGTTATGATTGCAGGATTGGCTAGGTCAAAAAAGAAGCTTGAATCAAATATTTGGAAACTGAAGATGTCTTTAGTTCTAAGTTGGATTATTTTCTTTAGCATAACTGTGTACAAGTTGTAATTCGTATGTAGTAGTTTTTTTATGTCCTTGTCAGGGAAATTGTTATGGTTATTTACATTATCCTTGTAATGACTTTCAATCACTAATGTCAATAATAGACACCAATGCCATGTTCACCTAAAGTAAATGGGACAATATATCCAGCACTAATGTAAATAATGGATCCCAATACCATGCACGCCCATAAACACAACACACCATCATAAAGACATTGAAACCTTTTGCATACATAACACCACATTGAGTTCATAACATAGTAATAATATTAGATTCAAATTAAACAAAAATAGTACATAACATAAAATCAAAACACTTAATCCAACATTGTTTAGCATAACCAAAGTGACTACATAACACCACAGTGAGTACATAACATAAAATTCAAACACTTAATCCAACATTGTTTAGCATAACCAAAGTGAGTACAAAACATCAAATTAAAACACTTAGCCCGAAATCAGTTTTCATAAACACATTGACTACATAACGATATTGACCACGCTTAACCTATTCAAGTTCCATTAGCTTGTCAATAGTGTGGCCTTCCCCATTTTTATCCTCAACCCGTGTACCAAGTTTTTTCTTCAAAATTCTTTCCGACTTCCTTCTTGTCTTGACAATTAACTTTTTACCCCTCTCTCCTATATCATCTTTACCATCCTTTGTCTTCCTACCATTGCTTTTCCCCCTAACATTACCATTACTGCCCTTTTTACCCCTCCCCCCTTTATCATCTATAACATCATTTGCCTTCTTACCACTACTTCCTTCCCCAACTTTTCCATTACTGCCCTTATTACCCTTCCCCCCTTTATCATCTATAACATCATTTGCCTTCTTACCACTACTTCCTTCCCCAACTTTTCCATTAATGCCCTTATTACCCCTCCCTTCTTCCTCATCTGTCATACCTTTTGCCTTCTTAGCACTTCTTCCCTCCCCATCAATAACATATGATCTCTTCCTTTTCATTACCTTTAGTTTTGTTGGCTTTTCATATTTAGAACATGTAACCTTGTTATGTCCTGCTTGTTTGCATACACTACACATAATATTTTTCCCAACCTTTAACACAGTATGTCTAGCACCCCTTTCACTTTAATCCTTTCTTCTATTAACTTTAGGTCTACCTGACATTTTTCTTTTCAATGGTGGAAAAAGTGGAATGAATTTAGTAGGTGGCCACATGTTGCTACCATTGATCCCACGCATAGGATACTTGTAGGTGTTCTTATAAATTGGTCCTTAGTACATTGGATCCACATAATTACCAACATCAATGTTAAGGTATGAGATTGTTGCAACTGAATGCACACATCCATACCCATTTAGTTGCCACACTCTACATGAACAAGTCTTCTTATCTACACCACAACATAAGACTACCAAATTCCTTGTTTCAAACCGGTTTAAACTAGTAGGTAAAACCTGCCAATACATGATGCAATGGTATAAAAGTTAGGGTGTATAGTGGAAAAACTAAATAAAGTATTAATAGAAAAGAAAAAACCTTTGAGCTCTTTTCAACTGATTCAATAGGATTGTAATGGTTGGGCATGGTTTATAATCAGGGCATGAACAACCTTTGATGATGATATTGAATTGCCTATCCATAACATACAACCTAATTTCTTTTAACATTGTGATTATTGGTTTTTTCCTTGCATCTCTAATAACATTGTTGAAGCTTTCAGATAATCCATTTTCAACTGCATCACACATTCTCCCCTCTCTAAAGAAAGCTCTACACCATGATTTTGGGTTCTTTTCCATAAGGTAGTCAAATGTTGCAGGATTTAGTACTTGTATTTCCTTCATTGTTGCATTGAATAAAGGTTCGGTTGGTGCTTTGCAAGCTTTCCAAAACATCCTCTCATAATGCGTACCACTTAACCTTTTCCTAAAGTTGGCAACAATATGCCTTGCACACTGTCTATGTTCAGCATTAGGCATTACTTCCTTCACAGCCTCCAATAGCCCTTGTACAATTTAAATTCATATGTTAAGAAAAATGGAAATTTATTAACAAGAAATATGAAGTATAATAAGTGATTTACCTTATGTTGATTTGACATCACGGTGATACCACTACCATCATCAACTTCTAGATCATCTTGAAGATTCTCCAAAAACCATTTCCAGTTTTCTTTATTTTCCACACACACAACTGCCCATGCTATTGGGAAAATATGATTGTTAGCATCTCTTCCTACGACACATATCAATTCTCCACTACATAATCCCTTTAAGAAACAACCATCCATGTTTATTACTCTTCTACAACTTCCTTTCCAACCTTGTTTCAGCCCCTCAAAGCATATGTAAAACTTACTAAAATATATCTTCCCATTAGGCATACTGTTGACATCCAATTTGACAGGTGATCCTGGATTGAATCTTCTTATCTCTTCACCGTATGACCAAAGCTTGGCATAATGCTCAACTAGTGTACCTTCAATAAGTTCAATTGCATATTTCTTTGCTCTTCTACACTGTCCCATACTCACATTAATTCAAAATTTTTGTTTTACTTATTCCTTTAGTAGCCTAACACTCATTTTTTGTTTTTGTAAAAATTTGGATGTGAAATGGCTACCAATCCATGCATAGATTACAACTGACCCCATTTTAAAATTTCTAGCACAATTATGGTTATCTATAAGAGACCTAATCTGAAAAGATTTTTCCTCACTCATCCATGAAGCCCA